TTGGAATTAAATTAATCTATGCCTGGAGATTTGTGCTTGTGTATTGTTCAAAGGGAACAATGCCACTTAAATTTCTTCTGAACTCATACCAATATGAAAATTAAAAAAAAGGAAGACATGCCGAGAAAGCCACTAATTGTCTAATTCACATTTACCCAGTGTAGTGCTTACCTGTTTTCTTGGAGGTGTGATAGTGATGACCTTCTTCAATGCATCAATCAGCCACTGAGGATCCAGAATGACTACATCCTTCAAGGCTTGACTCTTCTGATCACCATCACCTCCAAAGTAGATAATGTGGCCGAGATCATGGTAGAACTTCAGCATCGTCAGAAGTTCGGTTTCATCTTCTAAACCAAAGTCATCCTTCACCTAATCTCAAGACAGCCAAGGTTATTGCATAAATAAAGAATCATCTAGTTCCACATCTGAACTTAGCAAGTTCCTGTCATTACAATAAATCAACTGAATTCCAGCCGCTTTGGAAGACAAAACTTGTTACCTCTTTAGTGTATCCAGGATTTGGGTTGGGAGGGGTTAACACTTACATTTCCTTTAAAGAATGGTAAAAGCTGTGCTGTCAGGAAATACTCCCCCCCCCATCTCCAGCTGAGTAAACCATTTTGCTCAGTGATCCTCAAAACCCCTTAATCTTTCAACAGTTTAAGGATTTAGGATTGTTCGAAGATCTTGTGCCTTCCACAACCACTATCCTGTGAATGCCCCTTGAGATTTTGCACAGCTATAAGATGTTGAGGTTACCTGCTGCAGTGTTAAAATAGGAATTCCGCCACTCTTAGCTACTTCCTTCAGTTTTCTGTCATCAAACTGCAGCCATCGCAATGGAATTAGCTGTCCCATGTAGGGCTCTTTCCTTGCAATGCTCTCAATATGCTTTCTCAGTCTGCAGATCTGTTGACACATACATTAAAACTTGACTGCAAGTATGACAGTTTCCCTTTTCTTTCTTTGCTCATATGTAAGTCACTGACTGTCAGCGCTTACGCTTTCTCACATTTTCTGCAAGCAAAGAAACAACAGTGTCCAACCCAACAGAAAAGTTTTAAATAGCAGAATTCAATGCCATTTGATAAGCTGTGGTTAGGATTATATTGGTTATTGTTTTTAATCAAAAGAAGCACAAATGATGAATAAGACATTCTTTACCTTGTCGTTGTTCGTTTCCATGGAGTTCTCTATGGCATAATACTCTCCCACTACAAACCTTGAGTATGGCTTATTGCTGATTTCCGTTCTTATTCGAGTAAATATTTTATCTATCTGCATTTAAAAACAAAGACAGGAATAGGAGGTAGAATTGAACTTTTCAAGAATAAAATACATGTATAGAGCAAAAAAGGAAATACATCAAAAGTGGAATTAGACACAAATTTCAGCCTTCATACATAATAATTGACTAGAGAAATGACACAGATTATGCTGAAAAGCAGACCAGAGCATTTGTAGTAATGATGAATAAATCATTGGCTATCTTGGTTAATGAGTAATTCCCTGGATTGACACTCATCTCTGGGTTGCATTTGACTCGCCAATGTCAACAAAGCTCAGTCTACAAAAGTCGTCACCGTTTTCATGAAGAGGCAAATTCCTCAACAGAGAGTAAAACCTAGGTTTCGACAAAATAGCATTTGAAGTTGGTCTCTTTTCCAAACACTTATTTCCCCAGTGTAGCATGCCTTTGACTTAACCAATACTACTTAATGAAAGACGCAAAAAAGGACAACAAACTCCCAAATGATATTGAAAGTTAATTGAAATTGTTTATCTTGTAAACAAACAAATTTGTCTCTTTGTGAAAACACTGAAATTCATGTGACTTTTGTCTACTTGTGAAAACGCAAGCTATTTTGATACAGCGCATGCCAGGTGCATGACTGTTACATTTGTATACATTTCCGGGGTCAAATTCACCTCTTCATGAAAACGGCAAAACGAGTTCGCCCATGGTTTTGCCCTTCATTGCCGACGCTGTTTTTATGGAAGACAAATTTGCCTCTTTGTGACAATGCAAAATTCGGAATGGTTGAAATTTGCCCCTGGTAGATCATCATGGTTAGGCAGATTTCAGTAGATTTGGTAACAGAAATTTGAAAAAATCATGATTTGGGGCAAAAGTGTCTCTTTGTGAGAACTTTGACCAAGTGTGACAGGACATAGGGCTGAACATGAGGTTGAGAAATCAAAGCTTGCCCTGTGTTTGCCAAGGTGTTAGAAGGCTCTATTGTGAAAGACCTTTTGAGATGTTGACTTTCACAAATATTACAACTAACACACCAGGACACCTATTATAATTGTACAACAATTTCAGTTCCACACAGTGTGAAGTACATGTGAGACAGCCACTAAGCCTTTATCAAGGCTAATAAAACTTAAAAATATTCTACAGATACGCCATCTCAGTTCCTGCCCGACAGATATCAGGAAAGGACGTACCAACTGTTTGCGTTCACTGTCTGGCAAGTCATCTCCTCCAACGCTATTTCGGTGAGTACCAACAATGAAGATGGGAGGAGATTTCTGCTCTAATCTTTCTTTTGAGGAGTTTTCTTTCGTGTATGTGAAAATTGAACGCATCCAGAAATCAAGATATTGCAGGGGAGTCATCCTATCGCTGTGACAGCTGTCCCCTTGCTGTAAGTGAATGACAAAATGACTGTCTACAAAACCATGTTGCCAATTAAAAAAATTCTCAAAGTGAAAGCAAGGCAGTACCATACAAGGATGATCAAGGGACATACATGCACAATGCTTTGTTCCATTAGGAGCTCAATATCGGTATCCTTTGCACTAATCTTCCAAGAAACAAGAAATCATATTCCAATTCAGGAGGCAAGACAATGCAAACTTGTACGTTTTATGTGATTGGACACAGAAACAATTTGGACAAATTCACTAATGATCTCTTGTCAACTAAAACTAGCAATAATGGGAGATAACGGCAAGAAGTATCACCTTCCATACAAGGAATGCTATGAAATATCACAAAGAATGGCATCAGTAAAGTCATACACATTCTTGAAAGAAATCAAAGCAGAATGCATTTGTGTCATGGAGGTCGTCATTTAACATACTCTTACATCATCAGGTCTTTCATTAGTTTGTATTGGTTTGTCAAGGTCTTGACAAAGGTTGAACACGACCACATATATGGCTCGAGAAGACAGAAATGTCTGCAATACAACAAACCAAAAAGAACTAAACTGATCAAAAATGCAAATGACTGCAAAGTTTCTAACTGGCTTTAATGTACTAAGGAAAAAACACACCCAAAACTCTGAGAACAAAAACAACACACAAGGGTGTTAACTGAGCTGACACAAACTCTACCTATTAATGTACATTCATAGATGAAACCACCTAGACACAAAAATGTAAAATTTTGCCAACCCCAAGTTGGTGTCGGAAATGTATGCCTCACTGTAGTCTTTTATATTTTGAGCATCTGAACAACCCCTTTGACCACAATATACTAACTTTACAAGAAATGAAACCTTTTGCGATAAGGCACAAGGGAATATTATAAATTTTTTAAGGAAGGAGTGAATTTCCAAATTTTTGTACTTCAAATCTACTGACTAATGGTACAGTTGTATGCTTATGTTCATAATTGCGAGAAAACTAGCTGAAACTAACTGAAATTCCAAGCATGGAGCATACGCGTAGGGTTCGAGCCACGTTTAAAGGCCCCGGTATCATTTTGAAATGTAGATGCTCTGTGATGCATTGTATAGCCTTCTGGTGCAACCATTGGCCATTTTTACTTTAACTTTTTTCTTCATATTTGCCTGAACTTAATGAAATAGTTTCCCAAAATCATAGTATCAAGATTTGTAGAGTGACTTGGCCATTTTTCCACCTGATTCGACCACATTTCCAAAATTTCAATTCTTTGTTACAAAGAATACACATTGCATGTCCAGATTTTTGGATTTTCTGGGCGTAGATTGTGTCACCTGCCCGTCTACAGTGTCTTTCATCAACATCCATTACCATGGACGTTGTGCAGTTTGTCTTTTGCACAACTCCTATAGGCTTTGACTTTTAAATGACAGTACATTTCAAGAAAACACACAACACTTCTCAATATTAAAACATCAATCACAAGTTTCCATTTCCTGCTTGGCACTACGACCACAAATTGCAGGCTAAGTGTCTCTGGTAAATGCTATTTGGCACCAAAATTATCACTATAATATTACAAAATATGTGAAAACTGTGTATGTATGTTTCCTCAGATTAAGTTAAGTTTTTAAGAACTGTCACTTGACACACCTTTAAAATGACCTTTTTTGATCATTTCTTTCAAATAAAAGAATGCTAGACCAACTCACTTTATCGGGAGTTTAGTGCCATTACTGTCTTTTTAACCAAGTCTGAATTATAACAATTTGAATGTTATTTGTGGGATAGCTGAAACCAGTCTACTCTACCTTAAACTTAACGCATGTAGATGTCACATGTACCTGATACTTCATAAAACATTATCATGTCCAACTCACCTTGTGTAAAGTATAGTACAAATCTTGACCAGCAAAGTCCCAAAGGCTGAGAACAATTGGTTCCAATGCACCAGAGATATGCCTCTTTCTCACTCCTAGTTGTGGAGTCGGTTCATTAATTGGAGATTTCCTTGTTTTGCTGTCTTCTTGTGATTTCTGAGGCTGATAAGGAGAAGCTGCCAAAAGAGGTTGAATCTAAATACCGACCAGCAATACTTGTTCAATAACACTCTTTCCAGTGTGCTTTACAATGCATAAAAGCAACTTATTCTGAGAGGTAAAAGTAGCTGTACGGGGAAGTGATTAAAAATGCACACTGATGATGACGTTAGCACAAATTTGTCTCATTTGCCACTAATTTAGTTTAACAAATTATTCTTTGTTGCATTTGGCATATTATACACAAGTATATGTAGCTACCTGTCCATCTGTCCTGAGGGCAGGTAAAAACAAATTGGGAAAAGTAGTTGTTGCTTGTCCAAAATTTACTTGCTCCAACTCTATTTTATATACATGTAGTGCAATGCCACAGTGCATGTGCGGTTTTTTCCACACCCAAATGCAGAGTCGCAAAACTAATTGCAATTAACTCAACAACTTGTGGCTTTCCCTTCTACCCCTTGGGGAAATAATGGCCACTTGTCACTTTTCAACATAAAAAGCACCGACTGTTTTATCAAGTTGACATTCGGGAATTGCAAACGGCAACTGCATAATGTTCGGTCAGTTTTATACTCAATATTTGGTATAGCTGCATGTTCGGTATAGCGGTGTTCAGTAAAGTGGCATTCCACTGTAAATCTTGAACACTGGTGAACAAGTCTTCACATTTCCTTCCTAAATACTGGAGGCAATGGAAGTGTGGCCTTAGACAGCATCAAGGGGTGTCAGTTTCAAAAACACCTAATGACAGACAGGCAGTTTTTATGCTTGCATGGGAAGGGACAGGTAGGTATTCCAATCCTAGAAGAAACGGTAGTTTATTTTCTACTTCTGTTTGTTGTTCTGTTCTTACCCGGTGCGGATTGGGATGCCTGGTCTGCTGGATATGTAGGTGTTACATGTGTACCCGGGGGCATCTGAAAAATATGTCACAATAATGATAAATACTGACTTGAGACTAACTCGTTGACTTGTCATTGACCTGTGGTGATTACCTGCGGAATGAAATTGATCCGTTCCCTGCTGCTCAGGATGAATTACGCAAAATCTGGAAATCATTTTCTTCAAACAATTTTTGATATATGGTAGCATAATCTTTGTTTGTAGGTCAAGGTTGAAAATCATGATCTTTTAAATGCCTTATGCATCTAGGAGCACCAGAACACAAAATGTCCATGAAGAACTTTGCTTTATGGAATTCCAATCAACGATTTAGCTCTAACTTCTTGTTTAAAACTATCTGGACTTCTGTTGTGTTATTTCATGTTCATTTTTCTTTACCCATGATGACATCTGACGGATATTTGATGTCTTACACATCTGACTCTAAAACATGACACAAAAGGGTAAGCCAAGCCTGATTTTATTTCCATAACAAGATTAGATATGCTGGTCGCTAAATACTGCCAAGCTATATGTTTTACCAATGGATACCAAAAAGATTGCTCAACAAACATCACTGGACATTCTTCTGATGAGGAAAGTCACTTTGGGGTCATTCTTCTTGGTAGAAGTTCTCTGTACCCTGATCTACATCTAACATTGTAAAGAGTATGTTTTATTTCCACAACTATTCCATACCTGTATCTTCACTGGATAATTCTGCATGATGAAATTGTGGAAGTTGAAAGATGCTTCATTTTTCACACTTTCTTCATATTCACGTCTAATACTGGTTGAATCATCTGTCAACATTTGTAAAAGGCCATGTAACAAACTTAAGTGTCATCAATTTGAAAGATACCAAGAGAACACTGGCTGCAGGACAGTGAAGGGCACAGCTACATGTAAGCATGTGCTACATATTGCAATGTACGATTCACATCAGCTAGCTTTTCACAAGACCAAATATAAATGGAGTGGAGAGTACATGAACACGAATGTATAAAACATTTGAGTTCCCCTGAACTGGATTTGAACACCCATTTTGACAAAAAAAAAACAATGTGTTATTCGTCAGTATTTTGCACTCAATCCATATGATATATATTTCTTATTTGTATGGTAATTTACAGGTGATAATCTCTTGGTAGCCATGAATTGCATGACAAAAGACCACATTTTTTCAGGCTAAGAGGCCCTTTTGGATAATAGTCTTCCATGTTGGGGTTTAAACCTATAGTCTCTTCACTGAAACTATCATTTCTAATATTTTTCCAAAAAGCAAAATTTTAGTAAGTCACTTGAGACTACCACCGACCACAAAATCAAAATGATATTTGTAACAATCAAGCTCACTTCAGCAACAGTCTTACCCAACCTCATGCAAAAACTTACAAAAACTCAATAAATTACAATGTATGATCAACATTATGGTAAATACTCTTTACTGGTCATTTTTTGGGCTATGTTTATAAACGTGTAAGATTTTTTGTCACTGTGTAATATGCACATCACATTTCAAAATCTTTAATAAAAAAAAAGACGTAAATGGTTTCAACCTCCTCCTTGGTGCAGTTGCCAGGATGTTGCATGTTTGATGTCTATTTTGCAGACAGATGATGCACTGATGCACTCAGTTGATGATTCTTCCTTATTGAAACTGCAAATAAAGACAGCAGAATTTCTCCACATGATTCCTCCTTATTGAAACTGCAAATAAAGACAGCAGAATTTCTCCACATGCTGTGACTAATTTTGGTTTGTTTCCCTGTCTTTTATGTCGACATTACAGGTTGGATCATTTCAAACATACATTGAATGCTACAGTTAAACCGGTAAACACAAATAACCAAATGTAGCAGGGTCATTCTGCCAAGTTGAGAAATGGTTGATGACATCTGGATGTTTTGGAAATTTCATATGAAGTTTTACAGCCACTCCATCACATCTGCCAATTTACATCAGCAAATGTGACGTTAAGGGTCAACTGACAAATTTTTTTGAATATCACCATGAACTCATATCAAATTTCAAAAGTTGAATTCAGGAATGATGAGCTGTGCTCTCAGCTGGTTACATGTATTTGGGAGGAAATAGACAATTTAACTTTAGCAAAACTTGATAACCTAATCTGGTGTCCCTCATATTTGTTACCAGACATCCACATTAATTTTTCAAAATATCATGTTGAACAATTTCAAAATGCCCTGAAACTTTCCAGAACCAGAAGAGTCAAAAACAATTATCCACCCCAAGCTGAAGTGCACCCCCAATCGACGAAAGAAAGACAGATGGTTACAAGCGGGTTCTTACACATGTTCTGCATGTACGCAAAGACCATACATGCTGGAATAAATTAGTTATGCGTACTCAGCATGTTCCACGTCCAATGCACATATACTTGCACGCCTCATGGCACACCTACGCTGTGAAAAAACAAAGCCTCTTTTGTTGAGTGGCCCCCAATTCAGTCATTTGCAAAAGTTTAAGACCTCCTGGAATTGTTGTTATTTCTGTCAGTGAGCCTGCATTACATTAATTGTTTCTTTGAATGATCACATAAGATGTTTTTTACAGTGGCGATAATATCAGAGTCGTGCTGTGAGCCCCATTTGCATGAATTTTGTTGCAAAGGCAGGTCTTGTATGACATTTTTCCTGAAAGGCAGCCTGGGTAAAAAAGCCAGTCTAAGTAATAAGAAATAAAAGAGGGCACACTAAATATTAGACTGCTAACATGTCAAATCCTGGAAATGTAGTCAAATAGCTGTTACACATTGAAAATAAACATAAGTTCCCACGATTGATTGGTTAAAGTTTGGTTTTTCTTCCGGTTAATGCATTTTGTATGGGTGGTCCGAAACTTTAGCAAATGACTATAGATCTCTCTCATTAGATGCCATCTTTGTAGGAAAATTGAAATTGTTTAACAGGTGCATGTGTGCGTGTTATGTAAAATGTTTGAAACTTGCAAGCTTGCTGATCCAAACGTCTGAAATACAGCACAGCCAACGCAGGTCACAAAAGCTGAAGTAAAAAATGCCGATGCATGTGACAATCTGTAGGAATGACGTCATTTGAGAGAGCCCTCTATCTCTTCTGAAAAATGTCCAAATGCCATCAAACGTTCCTCAACTTGGTGAAATGATCCAGCATTGAAATCATAGAAAGTTAGAAACCTTTGATGTGTCAGACTCCTCTTGAGGCTAGTCTTCCCTACTCGTTCTTGCCCAACAATCATCAATCTTGTTCGATGTACTTGCTTATGACCCTCCTCCACTGCTTTTCTGTAGGCTTCTTGTTCTTGGTGTCCTCTTATTTCTTCCGGTACATTGATGAACAAAGCTTTAAAAAAAAGGACTCACCATCATTAACAACTCAAAATAAGAACTGGACAACAGGAATCAGATTGGCATAATGGTTCTTTTCTCGCCTTCCACCACTGCCTAGGATTGATTCCCACTTCAGTCCACATGTGGATTGGGTTTTCAGTCCCTACCTGATTCCCTGGATGTTCATCTGGGGTTTTCCTCCCACCTCTAAAACTCTCTACAGGTTTCTTCAGGCTTGCAAGCTGTAGTGCCTAGGGCACTTTTGAGGAATCCTTGGTTTCATCACCAGAAATTCTTAATAACATCAAACAAGTCCTCCAGCATTGAGAAAATTTTAGTCAGGGGTAAGTCTGGGGGAGGGGGCAAGAGGAGACATACACCCCAACAAAAAATTGTTTTTCTGAAAAAAAATGAAAGGTAGTTTGGGGTTCCATTTCATTTCCCTTCTATCCCAAACCATGTTCAAAGTCCCAGAATAAGCATCACACCACAAGGGTCATAAAAGGTTACATACAAATTTCAAATTTGTTGGTTCCTGCAATCCAAACAACTTTGGTTCTGGATCTGCCATTGCTTGCAGTAGTGCATCGTATCTACATGTACGTACCAGTCACTGGCATTCCCTTTATTTTACATGCCACAGAATTTAAAAACTTAGGAAATTTGCATGACTTAAAACTGCATATGTTAAGAATAAACACGTATTACAGTACGTGATTGGACAGTGTCATAATAAACATCATCCCTGCAATCATTTTTCTCCCCAAAATGCCATTAAGATGCTCTGTTTTAGAAAACAGTATGGAATACAACATAAAGAAAAAAATTCCCAAGCATGCAAACAGCTGTGAAGAGTAAGGCAAATTACATACATCAACTTATGATCATTCTACCTGTACTCACTTTGTGATGCAAGCTGTATCTGTACTCTGGGGCCTACAATTGAAAGTAAAGGATTTACAGGAATTTAATGCTGCTTCAGCAAGTTATGTCTAATTTGTCTAAGTCTGAACATACCTTGACATCACTTGGCACTCTCCGCACAAACCCAAACTCATCTGAAAAATTTTAAATGGTTTACCATTTTCTAAGTAAGTGCTTCAATATTTTCCCTGCTTAATTTTGCTTTTATAACATGTCGTGGCTCTTTGATTGCTGGTACTAGTATATTACAGTGGGGAAAAATCATTGACATTTGTGTGAGGAATTATTCCTCTTAATTCAAAGAGAAAAAGTACATACATATATGACTTACCAAATATATTTGATAACTTCTTATCAGCTGACATAATATGTAAAATGATGTCATCCCGAGAGAGTTCCTGCATACATAGAGCTAAGTTATCTAGTACGGGGTTTAGAGCACGTGGAGAATTCCTGTGCAGTAAATTCAGAAATTTTTTCACTGTTTTTGCTCGATGTAATTCCTCCTCATTGATACCAAGATAACTCCACACATCCTTTTTACGTATTATGCCTTTTAACTTGTCTAGCTCTACATTGCTGATGTTTTTACAGATGGTGGTGAATAGTTCTTCAGTAACGTCTTGCGCTTGCTTTTTCTGATCTTCTGACAGCTCCATATTGATAGCCCACTGGGATGCACAGACATGAAGCACAAATGTACATGTACCTAATAGTATCTGCAAAGAAATCAAAAAGAGAAAAACAAAACATCAGTCAAATGCCTCAGTAATTCATGGCTTGGTTTGATTGCTCATTTAGATCTCTGATTTATTTTTTTCAAATTTCCCGAGAGTGCCAGGACATGTGCTATAGCAGATTCAAAGATTTCTAAATGGTTATAAATATGCTTCTGAAATGAACATGTAGTACAGATACATGTAAACAGCATCTCTAAACAAATCCCAGGTAATATGCAATCAAATTGAAGCATCATCAAGCTCACACAGACACAGAAACAAACATCCCAAATCTGAAAAATGGGATCATGTTCAACTCTGGAAATAGTCTGCATTGACTCGTCAGAACAGGCCTATTGCTCGCCCAAATTACGAGCAATGGTGGAGCAATAAAGTCACTCTTACTTGAGCAGCATGTATTCTGTCTCCATTTTCTGCATATGTACCATTGCTATCTTTTTTACATGGAAAGCGAAGTGAATTGATAAGGAATTAAATTCAGACTGTCAACAAAGTAACTGACAATGAGTCAGCTGTAGCTGCCAATAAAGAAGAAACTTGAATAACAATTCGCATTTCTTTTAAATTAATTCCACTGGGCAGTTTATCACTTGATAGTATTTCTTCTGTTTTAGTATCATACTGTGGTTCCTGTTCCCCCCCCCCCTTTTCAATCCAAATCCCCTAAAATTCCTTTCTTTTTTTCTCCTGATTTCTTTCTTGTGGTTGAATAGTCCTATAGAGGTGCAAGACAATTGTTCCGTCTCATTCTGGATTTGATTTGCTAAGTTTCTAAATGAATTCTTCGATATTTTCCCTCCTAGTTTTCACTTTTTATGGCATGTTAACACTTTCTGATGGCTGTTGTGATATTTTAAGGGAAAATGAGTGTTGTCCGTAATATGAACCATCATACTATATGGGAGGCAAGTCATGAGAAAATGAGATGGGGTTCTTTCCCACAACCGGATAGCCTAGTATGGCTACTTTCAACATTTCGGTGTTCCAGACCACTTCTCGTGGGGGAATTACATGTGTTATTAATGGAAAATCTTTCCCAAAATTCCGAAATTCTTACCAGGTTTTTCAGAGAAGCACTTCTAACGTCCTTATTACGCCCGGCGCCCCAAACAACCAGCTGAAGCTTAATTCGTTGCGGCAAGGAGACCTCCAGCAGGTCTATGAAAACAACCCGCAGCAGCAGTTGCGCCGTCAGGTCCGCGCCACGCATTTCACAAGCTGGGATTTCCCCTTAAAATTCGGCATCAAAACTTGCGCCCCCAACGTCGCGCAAAGGCAAACCTCTCGCCAGTAATGAAACCACAGGGTTATTTTCATGGGTAATTTTCATAACCGTCAACCAGTGGATAGGTATGGTCGTGGGAACAGAGTAGAAAGTTTAGTCTTTTACTTCCCTTCCTCCAAAAATGATATTTAAAAAGATTACCTAAAAAAAATTACAAAATTTCACCCCCAAAACACACCCCCTTCCAATAAAAAGGTTCTGGCTCGGCTCAGAGCTAAGGGCATACAAATGCATGTTTCAATCCTGTTAAAAATGCTGAAAGATCCTGCCTTCTTTAAAAAAAAAAAGCTGATAAGACAAATAAACCTGTATATTTTTCACAGGCAACAAGGAATGACCCCTTGGCCTTCCCTGGATTACTGATCATTAACTCACATTTTATCCAGTCCAAATAAATTTAAAAAAATTGAAAAATTTGAACCACTTTGTGAGAGATATGAAATCCTTTCCTTAGAGAACGGAATAACAATTTTAGAAAAAACCTCCCCCCCCCAAAGTACTCAGGCCAAACTCCCATTTTCACATTGTATTGTTTGGTCTAAATTACACCCTTTCCTAGAAAAATCTCCTCTCAGCCCAGTTACTTATTTGGGATGCCACTTTCTTAAAAAAAAAAAAAAAAGGTTAGCACAAGTAGAATTTACACAAACTTTCAATTTGACAAACCTGATCTCCATACAAGATGGAATTATAACATTGGCACAATGCACCTATATATGAAACAACATTACAAAAATTCAAAACACATATGTTGCACATTTTACCTTCTCAAGCTAAATATTACATGAGCAAAAGACGTGCAGAGGCACGATTGCCACCCGTCTGAATTTAACACAATGTTAAAGTGCAGTAAATAGTCCTTTCAGAATTTAAGCCCAAAGTGGCAACATTGATGGTTGGGGGCATAAACACTCTTTGCACTTCATGCACATTTTATTCCCCCCCAAAAAACGAATAGTACAACTGCACACTTATGCTACTCTGTGGTGATATGGAAAACCTTTTCTGAGTGATGACAAGAAAAACACCAAAGTCAAACTGCATGATTACTTCTTGAACAACAAAGACTTGGCTGGCCTGTCCCACAGTTTTTATACCTCAAAAATCTGATTTTCTGTAAAAACGTGCATCCTCCACTAATTTCAAAATGTAAAAGAGCGGTGGCATATGAACTGGTTTCTACCAGTGGAGATAAGTAGGCCAAACACCATCAGTCCAGTTACCTTGAAAATAATTGTCTACTTCTCAAGAAACTGCGCCTCTCAAAATTTGCAAAGCCAAGAACTAAAATTTTCAGCCAAAGTACATCTTTCGAAAATCTGAAACTTAATGACCATAGCAATGGTCAACTAACAAAGACCAACATAATGTAAGCAGGAGTCAAAGTGTAACTATTCTGACCAATGTATAACCAAATAGTAAAATGAAGAGGAGTTTACAATATCTAGACTGGTTTTTGAAACCGAAGTCCAAGTTGGATTCGCAGATCATGTTACAATACAAAATGCTCTTTATTTCTATCAGTATGTAGAAAGACAACTTTATAGAACTGGAATTCCCTGACAACAGGTGTCCTTGGATTTGGGAATCAAACATTTAAATACTAACAGACATTCAAATTCTACAATCCAAACCAGGTTATTGTACGACTTATGAGAAAGCACTGCTTTCTAGATTACATACCATGATCAGCAGAATAAAAAGGAAGATCTTTTGTTGCATAAGTAAAGAAGCTGGTCTCTCCAGGATTCTCCCCAACATTACATTACCTACAACATTCCATTTCAAGAAACATTTTAAGAACATTTATTAACAAAAATAACATTATTGTTTGCAACCTGGAAATATGTTTATGCTTTCCTCAGAGCACAGAATGCTTTCATAAACCAATAAAAATATCCTTTTATCATTAAATTTAAGGAATAACCCTACATTAAAAATTGTTTCAATGTATCTACATCTGATATATCTTCTTCTTGATTCATGATAAAAAGTAAACATGATTTACTATTTACATCCCTGAAATCTGTTAAAGTATCTTCAATGCATAGACGCTTTCCTTAAGAGTATACAATAATGATTTACATCAATAAAAAAGGTATTTTTATCAGGAATTTTTTAGTATCAAGAACAAACCCCAGATTAAACTGTGCATTTTTTGGTCTACATTTATCCCCTCCTGCCATAAAAGATCTCATCCCAGCCTGTTGTATTATTTTGCACTGCCAATTTTTTCAAAATAAAGTTTCAATTTAGTTCACCTTGACAATCTTCTGATCTTCACTCATGATTACAACATCTGAACAATGCACCTTTATAAAGCAAAAATACTCAAATTGTCGCATATCTGATGAACTGGCGAATCAATCATTTTGGTAATTTTCAGATTTTATCTCACAAACTAGCAAATAGCTTTGATAGCTGTATTCAAACAAAGTATTGTTCATAGAGCCAAAAATACAGAGTAGGAAATGATTTCTAAGACCAATTTTGTATCTTTTATACATGTACACAGTGATGAAAAGAGGTTTGAATTCAATATTGAAAACAAGCAGGCAATAACTGCTTAAACTGAAAGCATGTTTTACTTGAAAACGGTGATACTTGATAATTATTGGTTCATTAGATATGTGATGATATATTCAAACTGTCTGTTGCACTTTTTACCTTTTCAACCTAAATGTCATGTATGTACTCGAGGTGTAGAGGCACGACTGCCCTTCATTTCTGGATTTCAATAAGACAAAATAATGAGCAATGAATGACCCCATCAGAATTCAAGCCTAAGGGGGCACCGGGGGGCACTGGGGGGCACCATTGTGGGTAGGGGATATAAAAACCTCAGCATTTAATACCAGGATTTTACTGTTACAGGACTTTAAACAATACTCAAGATTAGGTCTTACCTAAAGGTTGTTTTCCAAGGCATAATTTCTCCCAAATTTGTGTTTTAGAGCTGTTCCCTGTCAGCATGGTGCATTAGAATGTAGTAGAATTTTACAACTTGCTCATAATTAGAAATCCGGATCCTCTCATTCACTCCATGAAATCGTGGAACGTCTTCTGGCAGGTTAAATGTTGGGCAGAAACGATACAGCTTATCGGTGATGCTGGTGTAGTGGACAGTATCAGTGTTGGCCAGAAGTATAGCTGATTGATAAAAAACAAGCAGGAAGTGGAAGAGTTTATGACTTATTGTTCTTGTAAAACTTGCCAATATTAAAAAAAGCTTGCAAATTAATTCAAACACAATCAACGGAACAAGGTAAAGGATTTCCAGTGTGCACCCAAAATTAATGTACCTAGCACATAGGCTGATTTTCAAAATCTTTAGACATCTTTTAAAGTTATACTCCCTTGTGCATATTCACTATCAATATGCCGTCAACTTCTGACAAAAGGCAAAACTGTAATCGAACACACAGGCCTTTAAAGAATGGAAGGAACCATGATCAAAAAGAAACTACCTGGAGCAACAATAGCATCTGGGAAAACCTGTTGAATGCTCTGACCGATGGATTGATAGGCAAAACACTGCTCATCATAGGGAGAAGTAATGGTTGCCTCTCGACTCTGAAGGATCTCCATCTTAATACGATCATCATTGATGAGACGCCGATCACGTTCTAAAACCTACAAGTTGGAATACATACCAAACCAATGCCTGATACAAAGTCACATCCAGATTTCTACGATCTAACCTACTTTGAATCTAACCAAGAACAATTTGTTTGAACTAATCACTCATGGATTAATGTTACCATAATGAAAAAAATATAATGACACAGCTGCCAAAGACTGAGTCTCACTTCTTGGAGCAAATGTTCCAGAGAGATTTGTTTCCAGACAAAATGTCACATGATTAATATAAGGCTTGTGACTGGTACTCTGCTAACAAAGTATATTTTGCTCAGCCCCTCCAAGAATAACTTTTATAAAGCTTTCAATTTGATCTAAATCCACAAAAAATGAGAAAAAAATGTGACAATGACGCTTGATTAAAGAATGTAAAATGAGTATACCAAGGTAAATAGACTTTAATCCTTACTTGTTGAATAGTTTGACTTGGATGAATACGATGATTGACGATAGCCGAGGCAGATGGAGGTAACACATTTACCTATTACACAGCCAAAAAATAAACAGGTCTTGAGATCATGCTTACAATTCTGTCTGCATACTCTCTTTTGTACATGCACACCACCAATCTACCAAGAAAGACCCCCAGCTGGTAGGCAGGTGCGTAGACAAGCCATGGAGGAATGACATTCTTTGCAAGCTAGACACCAGACCAAAAATGAGTAAACTCACCTTAACACCGCCCCTGAATACAGTAATAGCTGTGCTGGTGTGCAAAATTGCTCTGGTGCTCTCCTTCTGTTGCATAATTCTATTGAAATGAACAACAACAGATAAACAATAAACAAATATTACATGACGAGATAGTATTTGTAGGTGTTTGAATTTTATTAAGTTTGATCGATTTGTCTGTCCATTCATCTGCAATGGATCAGGAGAAGGTACTTTAAATAAAAGGACTAGGTGCCCCCACAAGTATGCATTGGTTTAAACATACACGTTTAAACAGTGTGGAGCGAAGATGATTTACTTCAATGTTAAACACACTGTGCACAAACCCACAATGCCTTTGTGCAGTATGGCCAATAATCATTAATCATCCTTACCAATGATAAATATCGATTTAACAGTGAAGGATGAGTGTAGGCATCAGCACACTGAACAAGTTCTGTATAAAACATAATTTGGCCCGGGTTCAAGATGACCTTAGGAAAAGGGTAACAGGTTGTCATACAAGTAGTCACTTTGTGTAGAAAACTATGGGTTGAAAAACCCACCTTTCTACAATCTTCTTAAACAGCCAAAGATTTGCAAACACCAACTTGATAGGGTACTCCACCTTCAAGTACAAAAGAAATCAAAAAGGAAAGCAATATCACAATAAAAATATAATGCACTTTTAGAAACAATACCCTTAAATGCTATTCAACAGCCATTAAATGGAATCTAACTAATGGAACTGAACTTATCATTACCCAAAATCACTAATAAATGACTCTTTTGGCAAAAGTCTCTTTCAAATTGGCTGAGCAAATCTTCAAATTAAACAGAAGTACCAAAGTCTCTTGGCAGAAATAAGTGAGACTTTGAGACAAACGTGGTTAGGTTCTATTTGATTTTGAGATAAGAAGAGTTTACAGAAGTTACCTCTGATGCTAGATAGACAAAATTGTCATATTCCACACCAGACCCAAACATGCTGGGAAATGGTGTTGTTTCAAGTCTGCCAAAGAAAGAAGAAAAAGGATACTTCTATGTCAGGACAACTCCTGGTCTAGGAAATTGGAATGCCAGGAATTCTATGTATTACCAGAAATTACCAACAGAGGAGTTCTAGTTTGGCGATGTGCTTGCAAGCTAGAATGATGAACTATGTGTAGGTTGATCATTCTTGACAAGCTAGAATCCTCATCAATGACACTCATGCATTGGTTCATATGTATTTACAAGGAGTGATCATAGAAGACCTCTTTTATACATTCTTCCACTTTTCAACACAAATGAACATCTTTGCTTACTTGGACACTGCCTTGGCTAAGATTCCAACATTTGTCTCTTTGGGAGGCATGGAAGAATGACCTGTCTCGGCAGTGTCTACACTTAGCCTGAGAGTTGCATGGCCCTTCTCAGATACCCCAATGAGACCAACAGGTCGATGGACATGCTTGATGACATCTTGCAAGATGGTATATCCCTCATCCAATAGGAATTCAGCTTGCACACCTCGCTCTTGAAGCGTCTTGCCAATGTTGGCTGCTCCATCCAATCCTGTTACCTAGGTGTATGGATCCATAATATCAGTGCAATCAGTTGCTGTAATATACACCTGCTGTGGAAAAGCAAAACTCTGTAGTCACACAGATCAGTAGCAGCACTGAAGGTGATGGACAAGATGAGACAGACATGGGTAGACAGAGTGGAGTTCAACACCACCAAGTCTGCAAAAAGTGTTCCCACATGTTCTGTTTTTTCCTTCTTCTTGAGAGATGATTCTATGAAGTTTTGCTTTCCTTCAATATAACTTTTACCTCTTCGTCATGACCAAAGCATAGATATATTGATCGTACAGGCTTCTCCTGTCTCTCCAGCCGAGATTCCAGAGCCTCCAGAATCCCCTAGACAAATAAAGCAGACAAGCAAAGAAACACCTGACAATCATTTCATTCATCTGAAAAACTTTGAAAGAAAACCTACAAAATATGATCTTGTGTTTAACAGGTTTAGCACTGTGTTCAGAATGATGGCGGAACGATTTTAAAAGTAGAAAGCCCAGTTGTAAGACCATCAATCATCAGCCACTCATAGACCGCTCCATTAAGCCCCACGTTATACAACTCCCCTCATTCAACAGAGTATCCCCTCCCCTTTCTGTTGTCAGTGATTCTGCTTGGATATTTCAACACCAACATTTATTCTGTTGAATCACATTACTGTTTTTATGATGTTTCCCTCCATGATGACGTAGGATTCTTAAGCTGTGAAATCTTCACTCCAATCCCTATGAATCCAATTCTAAAGTTTGTGGCACTTGAACAAATGATTTTAACCTTGCCAAGGCCTTACATTAACACCTGACCCCAGCAGTCATTCATGTGCCATTCTCATTGGACCTGCGTATGACCTTTCACCTTATACTTTGTCAGAATGGAGCAGGGATTCTCAACAAAATCCATCAAATACCTCTGCCTGATCAATTACAATTAAGCATGCATACAGTCTACAGTTAGATTCTAATGGGGTTAACTGTCTGTAAAGAACCTGATGGGGTAGGGTTTAAGGTAACACTCTGTGTATGAAAATCTATCTTTACCATTAATGAATGTTTATCATCGATGGTGCCCCTCCCATAGATGCATCCATCCTGTTCCCTCCCTTCAAATGGTGGTACATCCCAATCTTGCCCATCCACAGGCACTACATCAATATGGGCTGCTAGAATATAGGGCTTCAGAGAGGGGTTGGAACCTTCAACTGTGTAGAGTAAGCTGTAAGATGCAATCACTTCTCTCGTCACTAATGGAGAGCTGTGGACCTTTGGAAATACTGAGTAAAATTGACAACAGATTTTAAAAATACAATTAATTGTTCTACAAAGGTGGATAGACATGAATTAGCTTTGTCAGAAAATGCCATGTATCTTGGAGTGATTGTTATAATAAATGTTAAAATTTGGCTGCAACCTTGTTGGTATATTTCAATGGCTTCCTTTTTCACCTTTTCCACTGGAGTAATTTTTAAATATTTAACAAAAACAGAAGATAACGTGACAGTCTCATCATTCTGAGCAGTCCTCCTCCCTTCATTCTCAACTTCAGTCTATTTTTTCCAGAAATTATTTTTGCAGAGACCCTCAAGAAAAGAAACCAACTTCTTCCTATTATGACAACTCTCAACAGTACTTTTGGCACGATTTTGGAAACTTCTTTTAGCGTGGTCCCATACTTACAATGTGCATTTTAACCTAAGGAATTTACTCATCATATACAAGCATAAGAGAACCACTGGTAAGTTTAATGACAAAATACCAGTACAGTGGAACACTACTATAACGAACACGACGGGGTCCACGCTAAATGTTCGGTACAGCGGTCATTCAGTTTAGCGAAATTAACTGCTGAACGTTTCGTTGCCATGTTGAATAGCGCCCTCTCTTGTCTAACTGGAGTGCACCCTCTTGTGATACTATGATTTGCTGTTTACGTGATGTTTTGCTGTTGCATTCATGTTTGAGGTTTCTAGAAATGTATATGTGAATTATTTTTGTTTTTTATTTAATCTCAAGTTACAAAATTGATATTTAGTTTATCCTAAAAGTCGTGAAGCTACCACTCAGGATTGATCTCTGATGCATGCCGTGGTGAATCTCAGTTGATTTGCAACTGCATAATGTTCAGTAGGTCTTGTGCACAAAATACTGGGAGCCAAGGACGATGTTCAGTACAGCCAAATGTTCAGTACAGCAGTGTTCAGTATAGCGATGTTCCACTGTACTGTCTTTACGCTATGAAGTCAAACTCACCTTTTTGCAAGAAAGCATGAAATTTCAAAATTTCGCTGTAGTTTATGTCACCTGGCTTTCGAGAGACTGTCTCAATCCTGATGGCTTCTTGCAAGTTGGTCACAATCTTTCTGTTGCCATCAAATTGTGTGGTGTCCAAAGACAGTCCGGATGGTTTGGGTTGCTTGGACTTTGCCGTGATGGCTCGAAGCACTAAAATGGCTGCCAAGCCGCTCAAACCAGCAGTGGCCACAGACAGAATACTGAGAAGCATTGTGGTGTAATTGTTACTGGTCAATTCTGAAATGAATCGATGTTCGACATTCAATGTTGAACAAGTAACTGTCTGATATTCAATGTTGAATAAATAACCATTTGAAATTCAGGATGCACACCCCTAAAAGCAATGGAGTGCAAAAGGGACAAAATACAAACGGTGCCAACTACATTTCAGGGCTTGTTTGACCCTGAAAAAACCCATGCCCAGGGTTGCAAGGAGTCGTTGCTGATTGAGGAGAACAATGAAATCAGATTTAATGAAATCTCCAGGCGGGGCATGGAGTTTGGGTATTTTATTTGAATTTGAGGAAAGTGTGATGATTCATTCAATTTAATCTCTGGTTTGCAAGCGAAGAATTCCACTGACAAGACTCTAGTCAACTGAATTGCCCTGATGGAGGCAGTGGGGTTGCTAAAGTGTACCGATAAACAATTTGAAAATAAGTTTAAACCTGGGGAGTGCGATTGATGTGTATTATTTCGATCAAATGAAATAGTTTGGATGAAAACAGCAAGTGCATACTGTTTTTCGCTGTAATAATTACATTGCTGTTAAAACCTGTCACCTACCTTCCAGGGCTTGTTTGACCCTGGAAAACCCTAGGACCAGAGTTGCCTCTGTGCATGGATGCTCTGTGGGAAAGAGTTGTATGTGTATGTATCATTGTGATATGAAATGTCCATAAGGTACACAGGGTACATGAATGTGAATGGATGTGCAATGTGGTGCAGTTTAGTTTCTATTGTGTGTGTCCATTTTGCACTCCATCATTTTCTATACATGCTAGGGGTGTGTCTCGCCCCTGAATGTCAAACCGGTTACTTATTCAACGTTGGAAAATCAAACGATTACTAATTGTTCAACACTGAACGTCGAACAAGGAACTAACTTCACATCGGTGCCCGCAGGTTTTCCAGAGTGTTATTAGCAAGCCGCCCGGCATGCCCGGCCGGCCCTGGCCTAACAGGCTAGTTCCAGTAGCCTCAGCCCCTCCCTTAATCAACCCGTACTGACTGTACTGCCTCTTTAATTAACACAGAGTTAACATAGTGACATCACTCTATGCTCTTTAACTTTCAGGGCTTGCAGGAGACGTTTGCCTCTTTGGAACAAATTACCCTTGCATCGACAAGCTACGGCAGAACTTCAAGACTGATGATGTAATCAGCTGATGCTGACTGCGAGCTACCAACCAAACGATGACTGGTTGGGACCGGAGAGAACAGGCAAGAGACACGCGCAATAGCATCAGCAAAATTGGTCACGTCAATCACCTTTTATGTGTGTTGTTGACTATAGACTGGCTTCAAGAACTTCTCCAACAACACTTCAGTCGAAATGCATTAAACAAGTGTCAAATAAAATAGGTGCACTAGTTAGGCTGCTACACCAGTCTATCATTTATAACGAGGTTGGAAGGTCATGAGAACCAACCAATCAAAGTCGGCGTTTTACAACTTATTCTCGCAGAGTTGACCTTAGTTGACACCAGAAATGACGCACGTACAACAAGCCGTCGAGGGCGCATACGCAGGGTACGGGTAATAACGCGAACGGTACTTGACAAATTTTGCGGAGGGACACGTATTCGTTGGGTTATCGCAAAGAAAGACACGGCGTTGTGATAACCTAAACGGTTATTTTAAGCCGTCCGGCGGGATCAATCAACCATGCTTGCTGCGTCTAGATTCATCAGGCGTTTTTCTACGTCGCAGGTAAGAAAACGCTCGGCGGGCAATGTTTGTCAAGGCCAAGAATAGAAAGGGGCCCGGGCCTAGGCATAGCACCTTCTTAAAATACATGTACATGTACTTGGAACTTGGCTATGTAACGTCCGTCAGTCCCAAGAGCATTTGCTCTATGATCACACGTATGCCATATGGTTCACATTTCCTCCATGATGAAAGTCATAGGACCATAGGTGACGATCATTGTACATGTTGTACCGCCGGTTAAAGATGTGTTTGGATATGACTTGGCCTTAAGGGGAAATAATTTCAGGAAGTAGGGTGCCTAGCTAGTTCCAGACCTAGACATGCTAGGCCTGCGTGTTCGTACATGTAGGTCTACGGTAGCCTCAATAGTTTCCCTGCTTTAAACAGTTGAGTTGGCTTAACTTAAATTTGAGGAAAAAGTTCCATACCATACACAGACATCACTTGACACCCTATCCCCCTGCCTATGCACAAACCTATGGAACTGCCTTGAAGAATTATGTTTTCAAAGTAAAATGCTTCAATATATCCCTGCTAAATTTGACTTTAGGACATGTTAACACATTCTGATGGCTAGTAAACCAAGTGCTGCAAGGAAAATTAGATGAGCGATGATTTGTGCCTAGTATATGGAATTCTTGCCAATTTTTATTTTATGAAGAGTTCCACATGGGGATGCCACCAGACACTTTGTGCATAAACCCTGTGAGACTGGTCTGAAAATGTATATTTTCTAAGTATATGACTTGGTATTTTCATTCCTAAATCAAACTTTTCTGGACATGGTTTTTTTCTTTCTGTTGGGAATAATTAGTGGTGTCCGTATGAATGGAATTCTTTCCTATTTGACTTTCTGAAGACGATTAAATGCTAGGGCAAATACCATTTAATTACTTGTGTGGTAAGGGGGAATAGAAATATGGAATCCTAATTTTTGGAGCAGAGGAATGCACAGTAAATGGGAGTTATTGAAAAAATTCTAATTCCAAATGGACTTCCTTGAAGCCAGCTATGAAGATACAGAGCCAGAGTGCAATAAGAAAGACATTTATGTGGGTAGGCAGTCAACCATGACTGCGTGGCGAGCTAGGCTACGAGGTGAGAGATGAGAGACATAAGCAAAGGCTATTCTGCAGTTGTGCCAACTTGGACCCTACATATTTATTTCCTTTCTGAACATTTGGACAGGTCTGAGTAACTTGAATGTTTTTAGCCACTTCATCCGTTTACCACTTCGCTTATGCCACTTCCCAACCTGCCACTTCACCCACGTGCCACTTCACTCATGCCTTTATCAACATTGAACAGAGAGGAAGACACAATTACCCAAGCCCACTTGAATCTGTCCTGAATGCCAGCAAAGATAAAAGATCAGATAGGAATACTAGGATATTTAGTAGATTTTGAGATTGTTGAGGGTTTTGATGTAAAGCCAATGCAAAGCTAAAACTTCAAGTAAAATCAGATGCAGCACTCACAGTAAGAACAGCATGGAATGAAAAAAATGGCTGGGAGCCAGTTACTCCTGAGACAGCATGAAATACATGTACATTCTGAAGTTTAACAATGTGAAACTGTCATGAAATGACTGTTAAAAATTCAGAAATATTTCACTTACGAGTAGTTCACAGAATTAGAATTGTTTTCATGCATCTACATGTAAGTACATGTGTCAGACTGTCACTGCAAAATGCACTACTGCAAAAAGAAAAAAGCTTCCCTTTTGAAATTTTGGAGCATTGTGACAGACACCATTTTGCCTGCTTTTAGTTTGTGTCTTGGTCTCTATTTTCTGAGTATTGTACAGTATCTGAAAAGTGCATGCAATAAACCGGTTAAGATGCAGCTATTTGTTGGTTAATCACAGACCTGTACTTCTGAAATCAGGGCATGCATTAACTCTGTGCAAAACATTGTGAGTGAAGTGGCGCATGGGTGAAGTGGCATGTGAAGTAAAAAAAGAAAGTATGTGACCGACAGCGAAGAGGACTCTACTTATCACATTTGTTAGCATAGGATAGTATTTGGTGATAGTAGGTCCAAGTGGATTGGCAAGGATGACCCTAGAAATAATGGCTCAACAAAAACGTTAGATTTCACCCTCAAATTAGCCACAAAAGCTTGAAGATTATGTTGGGTGCACATGTACAGAATTTTAAACAATAAACACAAGCACAAGTCAAGGATCACACTCTGAATATCTTCAAACCATATACAAGAATATCAGCTACTGTCAGAAATATCTCTTCTTTTTCTCAATGGTCTCCGGCAGTGAGCTTGGCTTTAAACAGATTTTATTTGAAATGACAAATCCAAAAAATGTAACCAGGTGGCTGCTTGCCTCTAAGTTATTTGGCATTTGGAGTCTTTGCTCTTAACTGCATGTTTGTGTATCATTTTTTGGTTTACTATCAACAGTCAACATCAGAAAGGCTACCATCCTAAAGCACTAACAGCAGTTGATTAATTGCTGTTGTGTGGTAGAGTTTGTGAAAATGTTGGAAAGTAAACCTGATAACATAGAACTGGTACTGTTTCCTGCATCAAGGTACTGTACACACAGTTCTACTACACTGTATTCTTTGTTTCCGGCCCTGCTGGACAGTTTGCGAGCAAAACATCATTATATTCATTTTGGCTGATATTGGAATCTATCCTTTGCCCCAAAACTTTCAGAAATAATTTGGCATCACAGTTACTGTACTTGAGTGTCACATTTACAAAGTTTCAAACTGACCTCAAAATTCCTATGAATTTGTGTATACTGGTACTTCATATCTAGAGTTACCAAAACTCACAATTCTGTACTCATGTTATAGTTGTAAGTCTTCAACTTGCAGAAAATGAGCAAATTTGTGCCTTGGCCTTTTGTTGAGCAATACATTGATAATGCTGGTAATCCCCCCTGTCTGTGTACATTTTGCAGTAACTGATAAGCCTTATATGATTTAGGAATGATTTTAACAATGATTGAGGGGACTGACACCTGATGATACTAGGTTGGGTCATTCCTTCTGTGTTGGAGGTACACAGGTTAAATCAATCCAATATCTTTTTGATAATTTTGTTTGTCCTTTTCAGTTTAAGCAAACTACTGGTTCTGCCCCTGTCCTCTTGGAAAAATTGTTGATAATCGATCAGACTTATGAAATAATTTCATCAGGCATGTGAACTCAAAAAGGTCTCTATCCACAGATTGGGGCTTCTCATGAAATTTGAAGAAAAGGTGTTGTCTCAATTGAAATCATTAGTGTAAAGTGTCATTTTTACTAAAAAAAAAAACATGGATGGTTGCAATTGGTTAATGAACCACTCACTTCCTAACTCGTTCAAAGCTCTCTGATATTTCAGTCCCATGGGACTTCTCGAATGAAGTTTTCATGGGGCGCTAAACTTGGGCATTTGGATGTACATGTACATTGTCAGACCTACATGTACACTACCAGTGGTGATAAAATATCACATACAAGACCCGGTGAAGTGCTTTATTTTTTGTGCATGTCCTTTTGATTAAAATACCTTAATATGTTGGTATTACCACAAGCGGAGGTGTTTTTCTTCTGCCATGTTTTGTGGTATGTACTCAGAATTGTCCATCATCCTTTGTAAGAGTAAAGTATCATCAAAAGTTTCCCTTGAAGTGGAATCTTCTCAACTGATCTTTGATCCTTGCAATTGCTCGCTTAGTTTTGTCATAGTATAACTCCTTTGTTTTAGAAATAGTCTTTTTTTTTCCAAAGATGAATGTACCTGCAGCAGCAGGGACATTCATTCCACATTCAGGAGCAATATTTTACATGTATTGGAAGGTTTTGAAGTAAATGTTGACACCCTAATCCTTTCTGAGTACAACCATCAACAAACAAGTTGCCTGCATCCCTTCCATGCACAAACCATGTCAAAATTAAAGTTTAACTCTCAGTTTCTAACTTTGGGCCTTTGGCATATGCTCTGCATTCATTGTCCTAACCGGAAATCTTCTCTGTACAATGTGCCTCAGAACTGTACAATGTGCCTCAGAACATTACGAATGCAGCATGTAGTGTACATGTACATGTAGGATTGAACCTCCCACAGTGCCATGAATTCTTCTTGGTTTGTTGTTGCTGAATGCTGCTCAACACAAAGGCAGAGTTATAATAGGTTTAATGTCCATGGCAATCATTCAAGGAAGGCCTTATAGTACTATAACAGTATACTGCATCAGCAGATAATTAGAATACATCTAACAGCCATTCTGATTGGCTAGTATGTAGAGGGTCTGTAGGGGGTGTGTCATTTTCCTCTGATTGGTTTCCTATGATTGGTAGATTATTCAGGGGTCCTGGGGATGTGGACATGTATTATGCATGACTTTTATGCATGTAGTCTTGTTTGGCTATTGGTTTTGCATGGGGTTTTTCTGTCATGCAGGGCAGGCATGGGCATTGTATTCAGCACGGAGGGTAGCGTGGGTTTTAAACTGTCCAGAACATCTGCTTTAAATCCTACTAGATGTAGTGTGGGTCTTTTGCTGATACCTTCATGGTCAACTTGAAAGTTCAGTACTCCTAACCTGTGACCTGTACAGTAAGTTGGCTATAGAGTATTGTTTTATATTGTTCATATTTGCACAGGAAAACATGTGTTGTGATTTGTATTGTTTTATTTTTATTTAGCTTTATTCATTGGGATGAGCAACCATTAGCTATTTGTCTCTTCAG